CACACACACACACACACATACATACACACGCACATACACATGCACATGCACACACACATTCACAGACACTTTCAGATACTCTACAGGCACATATGAGCACAAAATCAAAATCGCAGATAAAGCAAATCTGGTCTACATCACACACACACACACACACACACACACACACACACACACACACACACACACACACACACACACACACACACTCTTCTCCAGTATTGAGTTGTGGTGAGGAGCCCTATAGTGGCCCTGCAAGCTTCCATCTGTGTGTGGATCGATACAGAAAGCTCCTCTGTCCTTATGATTAGCAAAGACCACTCCCTTCATTTCTGCAGAAAACTTGGATTCTGTCTTGTCCGTCTCAAAATAGCATGTAATCGAGAGAGTATAATGTAAACTGACAAATTACCATTTGCTAAAACAAGCAAGTGAAGTTGTAAATCTTCTGGTGTGCAGAAGCGGAGCACGTGATCCGAGGGAGAAAAGCGTGAAGTGAAACTGAAGAGTCCTTTTTCTCAGCAGTTAGTTTAACTCGTCAAACGTGGGTGTGGCTAATCACATCATTATCACTTGTTAATGTTATTAGTTCCACCAGGAAAAAAAAAAGCTCTGACGCTGACAAAGATATAACTTAGAAACATTTGTTCCGAAAACAAATTCAGTTAAAATCATCATTATAACATTTAAATTGTTAGTTTTTTTCCAAGGCTAAAAAAAGAGAATAGCTAAATCAAACTATTTACCCATGAAAATATTTAGTAGTTTTTCAGTTCACTTAAAGCAACACTATGTCATTTTACTGAGCGAGAGCGCCCTCTTCAGCCACATGTGGTGATTCATTTAGTGTCTGTAACGGAGCTCGGACACTGAAACATAACTGAATGGTGGATATTACCCATGATCCCCAGCTTTCTTGAACCAGAAGTCAGAATCCACCAAACTCTGCTGGTTTCCTGCAGAATATTGGAAATAAACTCTGGTTTTCAATGACTTCTACATCGTTTTAACTGATCTATGGTTCAGCTTTACTCTTCAACTTGCTGGACCTGATTCAGACAATTGAAGCTGCTGATCAGTCAGTTGCACACTTCTCACAGCAGATTACCCACTCACCAAAGTGACATAGAACAAGAACAGACATTCAGGGTGAAGGAAGTGGCTCCATTCTCCATATTCCACATCACTAAACTCTCAAACTAATCTTGAAGCTGCTATTTTAAGGTGAAAAAGTTGCATCGTGTTTCTTTCTTTCTTCTTGCACCGGCTCTGAAATTTGCCCGCGAACGTGCTGCAGAATCATCCATTATGAGCGCAGGCACACGGGGAGGACCACAGATGGTGCTGTACTGAGGAAACTCATTGTGACGCCACTTTCATCCAAAATCCAGTCGCTCTAATTGAGCCACACATGAATATTTGATGGCAGCAGTTTTGATAAAGCTACAGAAAGCTTTCCAGAGGAGGCAGACAGAAACTGGAGTCAGTCTGGCTGCGAGGAGTCAAAATGGTAGCATGACATACTGTACGTGTGTCTGTGTGTCTGTGTGTCTGTGTGTGCGTGTGCATGTGACTGTGTGTACGTTGCTATTACCGTGAGTCATTGAGATGACACAAACTACATTCCAGTTGAACTAAGCAACCCCTTTACTATCTCTGTCTGCATTTCTGTCTGCTCTGCTCTCCGCTTCACCTCTGCCCACACTCTCTCACCTCTCCCTCCGTTCTCACCCCGTTCCCCCTTTTGCTAAATTCTCCCAGCTATCACTTAAGTGTAAACACATAACCACAAGTATTTTTTACAGCAGCAGGGGGTCGTGCCAGGAGCTCACACAAATACACGCACACTATACCCAGTCATGAAATATATTTAAAGTCTTGTCATGCTGATGGCCTCTAATGATGACCTAACGTGTGTGTGTGCATGTGTGTGTGCATGTGTGTGTGTTTGTGTGTGTGTTTGTGTCAGACAGCCTGCGTGTCTGCCAGTTTATATGTCTGCCTGTATGTCTGCCAGCTACCTTGACGAAAATATCAGCAACAGTTAAAGAGTGTAAACAGTCGCACGTACCTTACTGTAAAGCGCTCTGGCTTCCTCTAGTGTCACTTTGAGGAACTGCAACCTCTGTGTTGTCGTAGCCTCAAACAAACCTGAGCTTTTTTTAAAACCCAGGAACCAAACTGTCGTGTGCACAGTTATTCTTACCTGTGGGTTCTAGTTGTTTACTGTCCAAACTCTCAGCGGTAAAACCGGCATCAACACAAACAAGTGCTGGTGAAAACGCAGCCTCCTTGGTGGAGGTGATAAAACACAAACAGGCGTGGGTATTTATTTTAGCCGTCAGTCAGTGGCACTGTTATGAAAGAGTGAAAGAGATTCAGCAGGTGCCACAGATGATTCTTTAATATGTAGAGAGATTCTGACACGTAGACGCCGGCACATCGAAAAACAACTCAGGAAATCAAAATGTATCTATAAATTATTATTACCTAAGAATTATACTTAATTTATTGTATTTTTCTCTCTCATCCCTTTCTTATTCTTTGCTTCTCCTCCCTCCTTTATCTCTCATCGGTCTTACATCACCTTCCGCCTCCTTCCCTCTTTTTGTCCCTCCTCCTCTCTTCTCCTCCCTCCTTTCATACTTCCATCCCTCTCTCTCCCCAGTCCAGACGACAGCAGGACCCCAGCCCTGGCTCAAACATGGCCAACGCTGACGTAGAGCACAAGATGCGCTGAGGAGGAGGGCGAAGATGAGGAAGGAGCGGAAGGAGGAAGAGGAGGAAACCGGGTGCTGGCAGTCTGTTCACTTTCAACACAATCAATAGAAAAGAAAAGCTTTAGACCAATTGTTCATCATTATTCTAGAAAAAGGTTTTCACATGCCAAGATTATTTTGAATATTTGAATGTAGAGGGAAACAAACTTCCTGAATTGATTTGAATTGAAAGTGAATAAAAGCTACAGACAAGACAGATTAAAAGGCCACCACAGACCTGGACAAAAAGTAGTCGAATGTAATTTAATACAGAGGAAGGAACATGAGCATATTGTAATTGTGACACATCCAGAGTCTGAGTTGTTTCTCCAGTTAGACGAGAGTTTCAGACATATAACAGAAAGTTCAGATATTCTTTGTCCAGGTCTAAAAGGATTTGATAGGTGTGTGTATGTGTAGGGGGGGGGGGATGAGTTTGGAGTACCAAAGGTATATTTTCTATTAATACGAGACGTTGAAAATAGAAGGAGAGGAATTTCAAGAGGTCATTAACAGGAGGAGGTGGAGGAGATACAGAGGCTTTATTTGGCTCAGGGTCATGATCAGGGCTTATTGGTCAGGATTACAAGTCGAGCACGTATCAAAAGTGAAGTGTTGACTGACTAAACACTCAGCGTTGTGCAACACTTCACATTCGTGAACGTGCCCTTGTCAACCCCCCCCCCACCCCACTATACCCAGTTCACTTCCTGAAACCTGCTGTTTTCTGAGACCAAAGTTCACTTTGCTGGAGAGGGGAGGGGGGGGAGGGGATTATAGACGGGAGGAGAGCATCCAGAGAGAAGTTTGTGTTTGCTGTATTATAATTTGAATTATTTCTTCTTGCCGTCGCTGCGGTGAGACAACAAAATGGCACGTTCCGTCACAACGACCTCGAGGCGGCAGGGTTAACAAAGAAAACTGCTGCAAACTCCCGATATCTGCAGCTCTGGAAGCAATCGTGGAAATGATGAGGTGTTTATAGTGTTGAGGGAGGGTGGTGGGGGGGGGGCTCAATTCAAAATGTCCTTTGTCTTCCAAGGGGTTTTGCACTATGTGATACAATCAGTCTTGCTCTCCACATGGATTTTCTTTATATGCATGAAACCAAACACAGGCCTGCTCCTGTGTTCTTTGTCGTTCCCTATGCAGCTTATTTATCTTCAGAGTACGCTCTGTGCAGCGCTTTGGTCAGGAAGACGTGGGTGATTCAAGGCTTTTGCGCTCAGGTTCATTTTAACATGACATTGCTGTAATCTGGATTTACTTTACTGACTTTGGGGATTTTGAATTTCGTGGAAAGCTGGAGGAATGATTGCTCCTTTATAGGCTGTGAAAAATATCAGACTTCAGAAGCCAAATAACCAATTTGTTAAAGAAGATTGCATTTTTGAAAAAGCTGAAAACATGTCTTTTTCTTATTTTATAATTACAATGGCACTCTGAGAGCATAGACCTCCAACAAGGCCCAACAGTTCAGTTATGAAACCACATTTAAACTCATTAGATCTGCATTTCCGATTGGCACCAGATTTCACATAATCATAAATATAATTTCATTAAGATCCTTGAATTATTCCCTGGGAATCTAAAAAAAGAACTATCCTGGATCCGCCTGAATTTATTTGAATCTTCTCTAACTCATACCACTTCATTCCACCACATGCTCATAACGACTTCAAAAACACACTCTAATCAATAAACGTTAATAACCAATCATCTCAGATCGAATAGACTACACCATCTATGGAACAGATCTGATTCAGTTGTCGATCGATCACCCACAGATTCCTCATCACTGAAGGACTGGAAAAAGCCTGAACGCATCTGAATACGATTCCCTGTCCTGTTACAGCACTAGTGTAATGAAATGCTATGTTTTCTTCTCTTATTGTTTTTTTTTTTTTCGTGTGAAAGTCATGATGTTTACTTTTTATATTACTTCTCCTTCTGTACATGTACTCATTATTTTGTCCATCTTTCGGCTTCGTTATGAACCTGTAGTATCAGCAGTAGGCTGTTTTATGTTAAGTTGAAAATAAGAAAATGTCTCCAGGCGTTTGGGAGTTTTAAGGACTTTTTTTGTCATTTTTTTTCATGTTTTCTTTTTATCAATTGTCTTTTTATTGTTTGTTTTTTTTGTTAGATTTTTCTCTCAAGGAAATCCACTTCCTGGGGTTAAATACATTGAATGTGGATTGACTCAAGCCCTGTTATTAGGCGACATTTGTGTTTTTTATATTGTGCAACGAGAAGCTCATTTCATTTTTCCATTGTGTTTTACATTTACAGCACTCAACGGTTTTGTTATAATTATTATAACCAAGAAATCTCTTTTGTTCATCCTTTTCTTTCTCGTCAGAATGACTTATAAAGAAGTTTAAGCTTTACATGAACTAAGAAAATTGTTGTACATTGTGTTTGTAAGAAACAAAGAAATGTTGTTTTTGCTGGAAACAACCATTAGAATTCAAATTAAAAAGTGAAAAATGTATTGAAAACTCAAACAATGTGATGGATATGATGATAGCACCCCAGCGTGAAAGGCTACAGAGAGGTTTTATTATTTTTACAAGAACTCAGAAAGTAGAACTGAAGGAAACTTGCAAAAATAACAAATTTGTTAGATTCCTGTACAGCCTCATTAACATCAACACACTAACAAGGTCTCCTCCGGTTTCCCTGCATCTGCAGCTAAATCATCGAGCCCAGAGTTCAACAATAACAATGCAGAGTTGTCATCCTCACATTCGGATGCTACAGGAGGATATAATTGGGGTAACCACAGGTCAGGAAGTTAGGTTTCTCATCGGCTTGATGTCCTTCCCACTGAGACTTAAGAGAAAAAAGCTGTTATGTTCCCATTTTTCTTCTATTATAAAGTCAGCTGACCTTGTGACCTGCTGCTTCATTAAGGTGAAGAAAGTGGAAAACATACTTTCTGTCTAAAAGCTCAGTCAGTGAGATAAAGAGTGGATTTTTTGTGGCCAGGTCAAGTGTGTATTGTTAAGTAAAGTCCAGCAGGTGAGAAGTGAAGGGACGTGAATGACGGTGAATGAGGTGAACAGTTTGAAGGAAGCATGAAATATGTTGTGAGGCCCGAGATGAGTCTCAGATCAAGTTGGTGGAAGCTGTCGTAGATTCATATTTACAGTGGCTGTTTCCATAAGACTGAATCCTGTGTGCAAAATGTTCAAGAACCTACAAGCAGTGCAGGACAGCTGGGCTCTGACATCGACAGTAGTACAAACTACATATTTATATATTACTGGTCTATCGGTGTTAACATCAGTGGACGCTCTCAGAGTGTATAAGGTACAGTAGGTGTCAGAAAAAAAAAGGTTTGGGGCTTTTATAAGTCATGAGTTAAAGGTTCAGTTTGTAATATTTTGTGACATCTAGTGGTGAAGTTGCATGTTGCAGCTGAATACCCCTCACCTCCCCCTCCCCCTCCACACATGAAGGAGAACCTTCAGTTGTCATAGGAACTGTAAAAACATGGCTGCCTCTGTAGAGAGGACCCTCTCCTGATGTAAATATAAAGTATTTGAATATAAAGAGCCTGCTCTT